TACAGTCACACCCATCATGTGTTATCAGGTTCTAAGGGGTTTGGAGGCCGTGTGATGCAATATACCCTCGGCGAACGTAAACAAAATCCAAATCGCGAAGAAATTTGCTTGTCAGTAAAAACGTGGAAACTTTGGTTGATCAGAAACAAGATCCGGGTCTTCGACAGACCAAAACCGAGATGAAAAATGGAAACAGACATTCTGTCATGTGATCATTACACTGCATGAAAACAGGACTCCGTCCCGAACGCGGGTTGGGGTGGGTTGGGGGGCGGGAAGGGGGCTTAAGAACAAGAAACATGATTGAATTGTTTCCTTTGCGATTTTCAGTAGATCACGCGCAACCACCACCACTGTTTGTGATGCTTCCAGCTGCGACATAAGAGAAGTGTTAAGATTTTATTCGAAAATATTGAAAATGCACTGTGTGAGCTCTGTAGTTTGACTTGAGTTTTAATCTCTTTCTGTTGCTCTCGCTACTCCACTGAGAAAACCCTGCTCAATTCCACCTCGCGATCATTTGTAATTGGTGTTGTGAAATCCGTGATTTTTGATTCCCGCTGTCTTTCTGTTAGCAATTTTCATCCAATCACATGCATAATCTACTTTGGGCTTCATTAGAACTCGCCTGTCAACCGGTCCGTTTTGGAGTTGAACTTGAGATCGTTCCCAAGGGAAACTTTTGTTTTGTCACGATGCCAGAGAGCTGTGACACACTATGTGAAAAATGAATGTGAGATCAAGTCATGTTTTTTTAAAAATTTATTGTGCTGTTGAAGTGAATATTCGCCAAGTGGTAGATAGCACCAAAGTTGTGGAGACAGTGTGATTGCTCCATCGTTTCACATGACCATAAAAAAAATTAAATTACCCCTGACCCTTTCCACGAGATGTTTGGATCATTTTCCGCTAGATTTACTTGGAATCTCTCAACCTGACGCCAGACTGTTTTCTCATCCTTTCGTAATGTTTTTTAATCCAGTCGGATGATGATGGCAATTCTTCTGCTGTGCACAGTCAAAGTTCGCTAGGCATGCTAAGGACTCACGAGTATGAGATTCTCGCTTGGGTTAGCTGGGCAAGTAGTACATCCCTTATTGCAGCCAAACTGTCCGACTGATCGATGAATGGACCCGATCGATTGTGTGATTGTTCGACTCGCAAAGGAGGATAGGGTATGAATCCCATGCTGCTTAAGCGTTGGCAAAGAATCAACAACACAGGAGACTTAGTTATGAAGCGATGCACCATTCGGGCAATTCGGAATGGAAAAGTTTATGCGAGGATGAAATTACGCCAACACTTGACTGGTCTTACATACAGGCACTGTTTTTCTGAGCGGGTACAGAAAACGGATATTCTACATGGCGGTGATGGCCCGGTGGTCTCGTCACCAAATTATCACAATAGAGGACTTGTGTTCGAATCCCACCACCACCATCACCACCGTCTGACCTTCCTCATGCTCTTCCTCTTGCATGACAGCCCTTTGATTGGCCGCTTCCTTTTTTCTGAAAATTGTATCATTNNNAAACAAAAGTGAAAAAAAGAGATGTTATATTGCCCGAGAGCCTCTTATGTATGCTTGGACACGTTAGGATGCAACTGCGCGGATAAGGTAGATTACAGGTAAGCTGGTGCAGATGGCGGGCCGAAATTTGACTTATCTGATGGTTGAGTTGAAACATTTGGGACGGGATCAAGAAACGATACCGCGGGGGGAAGCAACTGAGGTGAGACGCATGTGTTTATGCACGACCCAGTTAGCCTAACGATAGTGGCAAGGACGAAGATTCCAGGGGAAGAACGTGAGAGGAAAATTCTCCTCACCCGAAGGCGAAGACTAGAAAAATGCGACAGAAACATGTGAGATTTTGTTTTAAAATGGGATATTACTGGTCACAACAGAGCGCAAAAGGCGAATACAAACGATATGGCTAGGGGACATTTCACTATTGCATCA